CTCATATGAAGGTCCATTCAGGAGAGAAACCTTTCTCCTGTGAAGTCTGTGGCACAAAATTTAGAGTAAAAGAGAGTCTTAAAAATCACATGTGGATTCACACCACAGAGAAACCGTTTGTTTGTAGTTTTTGCAGTAAAGGGTTGTCACAAAAAGAGAGTCTAAAAAGTCATTTGCGTGTTCACACAGGAGAAAAACCTTTCATTTGTTCTCTTTGTAATAAGGGATTTTCACGACAACAAAGTCTAAAGAGTCACATGAATGTTCATACAAGAGAGAAACCTTTTATATGCAGCGTTTGTGGTAAAGGATTTTCACAAAAAGAGAGCCTGAAAACTCACATGCGTGTTCACACGGGAGAGAAACCGTTTATTTGTAGCGTTTGCAGCCAAGCATTTTCACTGAAAGACAGTCTGAAGACTCATATGCGTGTTCACACAGGCGAGAAACCGTTCGTCTGTGACGTCTGCAGTAAAAGGTTTTCACAGAAAGAGAGTCTAAAAAGTCACATCCGGGTTCACACAGGGGAAAAGCCGTTTACCTGTGCTATTTGTAGTAAATGTTTTTCCCACTCTGGAGGCCTGAAAACACACATGGCCGTCCACAGCGCACAGTTTAGCTGTAGAGAATGTGGCAAATGTTTCGTAAAGGAAATCCAGTTGGAGCGACACCTCAGGCTCCACTCAGAGGAGAGACCATTTGGTTGTGACGTCTGTAAGAACAGGTTTAAACACAGGTGTCACCTTGAAAGTCACATGAAACTCCATTCAGGAGAGAAACCTTCTAGTGTTTCCCGGTGAAGCATTTTTCCTAGAAGAAATTCTGCAGAAACAGAAAAATGCTCATCAGGGAACCAGCTAATGGTTATAACAGAAAGAGCACATCCTCTCACCAATGGGCTGATAATGTCTTCACTTCATAAATGACAGTCTAAGCAGGCGAGTTCACTAATGTGATTAAGGCGTTCATGATCGTTAAATCCTTTTATTGTTCCTTACACAAAGTTCTTCGTAATACCTTCTGCCGTCCTTTGCTTTTGTCTGGTTGAGATAGTGACACTCAATAGATGTTGGACTTTTAAAGGAAAAGTCACTCATATTCAGAATCCAAACTTTTGAAAGTTCTTTAAATCTGAAATTATTCCATCCTGTTCAATAAACGATCAGTGTTTTTAATTCAGAGTAATTTTCATGTGAATGTGCTTTACTGGAGGCATCCATGTTTGTCAAAGAACACTACTGCCACCTACTGGTTAGTGACATTGTCACGGTGCGGTATCGGCTGTTGATCAAGTCCCAGTGCTGTATCTGGTGTTTGTCACAACGCGCTATTATCCAAGTCATCTTGAAAACATTCTTCTTCCAAATGTTGGCTACATATTACGGGTTTTTTCTCTGGCCAGAAGTTCGATGGCAAATCCTCCCTCTTCAAGTTGGCGAACCAACGACCAACCCGTCCGTGGAGGATCAGGAATCAGAAAGGTGGAATAACTCTTTTTTCCACTTTTACCCGATGTATTCCAGCATCCAGCTGCCATGCACGTGGGCATTGTCAGTTTCACTATAGCTCTGGTGAATTTCAATGGTGAAGTCCTCTGGAAATCTTCAATAATTGTTGTTGATTGCAGATGTGTCTAGTAGTTCCCATTGATTTAGCTTGGAAAGCGGGGAGAATGGCGCTAGGCTTACCGCACCGTGACGTCACTGCTGGAAGATGGCAGGAGGGAGGGGCTACTAGATTTGGGCAAAGATGGCCGCTCCCAGACTCAGTTATCAGGACGAAAATAATTTTTATTTTTTACTGATTATCGCTAAATTGATTAAATCACTACAAACGTATTAGTTTTAGGTATAAATAATGATCCATATTTTATTCTTTGCTGACGGACTTTTCCTTTAAAAAAATCTAAGTCTAGTCATTAAAAGGTTCCATTTATGTCATTTTCAAACAATAAAGCTTTTACTGTGCTGCTGCCATTTTGATCATTAATACCAATAAAGATCTTAATTAATAAAGGTTCTCTTTTTTTAACTAAAGACCTAGATAACGTAGAGAACATAGAGCTTTATTGCATAGAATGTGTCCATATAAAACTACGACCAGGCAGCTTGTTTGTCTGACTGGTTGCTGATATTTTAACCAGTTTCTTTCCGTAGTTCTAGTGGTAAACATCCATGTTTTTTTGTCTTTACGCTTCTTATCGCTCCTCCTGATGGTTTTATACCCGCTGCAGCGGTTCTACGCTCCAACATCACATATTTACATGTCACAATTTTTATGTCCAGTATGGTGATAGATGGGTAATAATGTCAACATGTACTGAGGTTAACAGAGCAGGAGCAGATATTAATTATCTATACCAGTTGTAGTACTTTGTTTTTATTTCAGTTAATACATGTTGCATCTTAACTATTTTGCATCACATGAAGGAAGTCTTGTTTTTAGTAAATTCTGGGATTTTGTGTAGTTAGAGCTGATCTCTGACTGTCAGATCTGTCAAAAGTGTTTCTGTTAAAATAAGTTAAAACACAGACTGGTGTAAAAAAAAATTTTTAAGTAAAAGTAACAATTTCAATCATGAAGTTTAAGTACAAAGTAGAGGTTTAACTTTGTACTTTAACATAAAAAATACAATGTTTTTTTTGCCTCAAATGCTTCAAAGAATGTTAGAAAACTTTATTTAAAAAAGGAAAATCAGCTCCATGCACAGAAAATGTCACTTTGCTTCTTTTCTCACTGTTGGACAGCATAAAGCATTAAAACTGCAAATAGAACCTGAAGGATCATCAACATTTAATATCTTAAACGTGCTCCATCCAATGCAGATCATTGGCTCCACCCACATCTAGTGAAAACTAGTGTGATTGGATGAGTCATAGAACGCAAACACTCATTGGTTAGCTAAAGGAAATCATCAGAAGCAAGCAGGTGTTCTTCAAACTGCTAACGTGAATTGTCTATGCCATGCTACAATGTGGGATTCAGAAAAAGATGTTGAAATGTCTGAAAGGTCGGACACAGGCGAGAGCGTATCGGGAGACGGAGACCAACCAGACCTCCCTCATCCTTGGCCCTATCTCAAAGAATTTTTAGAAATAGTCGAAAAATGTATCTTTAATATTCATATAGCGGCATCTGGCTGTTTTTTTTTTTAAGGTTACTTTATACTTTTATACTTTAAGTAGATTTTGGAGCACATACTTTTACACTTTTACTTGAGAAAAGAGGTCAAGGTGATACTTTAACTTTTACCAGAGTTTTTTTTTAACTGCAGTATCTATACTTATACCTAAGTAACATATGTGTGAACTCATTGGTTTCCTCTCAGTTATCTCTCAACTTATCTGAATTAAAGTCAATTTCAAATTGACTCTTAGTTTATTTACTGTTTTTATTGAACTTATTGATTTAAAATAATTATTTAAAATCCAAATCTACAACCACCCTCATTCACATTTTCTCCTAAATTATCACGCTATATGTTTACATTACTTATTGGCTGCATCTAAATATATATATATATATATATATATATATATATATATATATATATATATATATATATATATATATATATATATATATATATATATATATATATATATATATATATATAGTAGTTATGAGGCTGATATCTATAGTGATCTCCTCAGCTGCTGCTGCTCCAGTCGCTCTTCTAAGCGGATCTGTAACTTTCGCTGCTTCCTGCTGTAGAACTCGGAGCCTTTTCGCTCCTCTCTGCAGTTTTTAACGGTTTATTATCCATTAATCATAAACCATAGACGGAGCATTGTCTCTAAACCCAAATTAAAAACTAAAAGCCTCGGTGGATGGTGAGCTGAGCTGCGGGCTGAGGAGGGACAGATTTCAGGTTATAAATCCTAAAATCATTTATTTTTTTTCCACACATTCATTAAAATACTGAATTCTTAAAATCTCAAATAAAATGGAAATGAAAGTTCTGACGGAGCGAATGGGAACGCCCACAGACCCTCCCCACACCGCGTCAACGTTCATGGAACTGTGACGTCACGGTGAGTGAGCCGTTACCCATTCAAATCATTCCCCAGACGGGCAGCATTGGATGCAGATCGACAGAACGTTTATCCACATTAACAACCCAGAAGGAATGAATTCAGTATCAGAAATGCCTTTTTCAACATCAGAAATGAACAGGAACATCCCCATCCTCATTCCAAACCTGGAGGAATTAATCAGACAACAGCTGAACACATTCTCTCCAACAGAATGGACCCTGCTTTTACAGGGTGTGAAGGATTCACACACGACTGAAGTCCTGGCAGACATTCTCACCAACATATTCCAGAAATGTGTGGAGGAGACGCTGAAAATCCTACTTCCAATGATTGGAAAGATGTTGGCTGCTAAAACACAACCGGAAACCATTGGAAATATCAATGTGACATTGAGCCGCCCGATTTCAAGAGCAATCCCAAATGTTCTGGATGTTGAACCAGAATGGATTGCTGAGGGAAATAAGATAGACGCATTGATGGAACAGGAGGTCTCTGATAAGGTTACATTGCTGGTAAACGAGATCCTACAGACCCCTGAGTTTTCCGAGAAACCAGTGGTATACGTGAGCCGATGCTTCGGTAATCTGAAAAACTTCAGAGAAATGCTTTCAGAGACCTATGACTGTATCCGAAGATATGTGGCGAAAATCCGTTATCGTTTCCCTGAGAAATTCTGCTGTTTATTTACAAAGATGCATGTTTTCAAAGCATCTTCAGGCCAAGAAGAGACTGGATCGCTCTCTTCAGAGAAACTTGTAATGACTCCGGCCTTGCAGGAGTCTCTGACCAATGGCATCGCTGATATAATTCTTAATGCCACAGACATCTTTGATCAAGACGCAGAGCCAGAACAATGGGGTAATCCTTTTGATATAGCAGAACTGTCGCAGGAAATCAGCAGAACTATCATAGAGGAAATGAGTTCAGCTGGAAAACCACAGAGCCGTTCAGGTGACCCCCTTTTTAATATTGAAAAAATCGTTGTCAAAATCAGAACCATTTTTCATTCAAGGCTCAGAACTGGCAGCTCCGACGCAATCGCCAAACCTGAATTTTCCCAGTTTGTCATACAGCAGTTTAAGAACATGTACGCTTCTGTGCAGAAAGCTTTACTTGCAGGTGACACCAACCTGGTGAAGCTGTTCCGTTACGGATTGGACCAAAGCATTTTGCTTGGACGTACGCCGGACTTTTCGTCACCAAAAGGCCAGAAGGACACAAAAGACATTCCCAAACCAGATTACCAAACCATCAAATCTGAAATTGACGACTTGTGTGACGAACATCTTGGAAATCCATTTCTGGATGACATGATCCAGGAATTTGCAAAGAAACTGACTGATCAATTATACTCAGATGTCATGAGGGAGTATTTTAGTAAAGTTCCCTCTCCTCCAAATGAAAACTGGCTGTCAGATTCTGACCTCTCCATAAAGAAAACTAGAGACACCTTTGGGGAGATCCAAATTTGCCCTGAAGTTTTCTATGCCAGAACTGAAGACGAAGTTAGGCTTTTCCTTGGAAAATGCTTTCTTTGGGTAAAGACAGAAGAAATGGAGGGGATAAGTGAAGGAGACAACGTGTGCAGCTTAGTCTCGAAGATCGATGATCTGGTGGAAACATTGTCAAGACAAGCAAGCCCAGAAGCCGGTGTTCAGAATTTCTCAATGGAGGAAAATGAACCGGATGAGCATCGTTTTCAAGAACTAGGGCCGAGCACTCCCCAACCCCAAAATGAACAAGACCTTTCCCAAGAATCAGGGTCAGACAGCAAACCATGTACATTGGAGGAAAATGCTGACCGGTCTGCATCTGTCTCTGGTGATCCAGTTTTATCTTTTGAAAAGATTCCGTTTGATCTGCCCAGGAAAAGAGAAGAAACATTTGATGAGAACCAACATTTGGCTTTCTTTGTAATGTCCACAGTGTTGAACTGTTCAAAGAAAAGAGGCGGACCCCTGACGTCATCAGAGATAAGACGGATCTTATCCAATCTGTCGGGAAAGAAAGTAAAGAAACTTGCAGACCTGCCTAAAGATGAAAAATTAGCAAAAAAGATCATTACAGATATCCGCAAACAACTGAGAGAGGAGTTTGGCTCGGATCAAGCGATATACAGTGAAATGACATCAGACACTGTTAGTCCAGTTGAGACTGTAGTGTTAAAATATTTGAGAAGTCATCTCCCAAAACCCCGAAACAGTAAAACTGATGTCTTCTTTGGGGGATTTAGAAACTTTTTCAACGGCCTGTTCCGAAAAAAGAAATCCTCTAACGGCCAGTAGATGAAAACTACAGGCTCTGTTTTTTTTTGTTTTTTTTTCTTTCTTTCTTTCCATCCATCCATCCATCCATCCATCCATCCATCCATCCATCCATCCATCCATCAGGTTTTCTCCAGGTACTCTGGTTTTTCCTATAAAAACATTAATCTAACAGTATATTCTAAATATTCAATGTTTCCTCTGCTTGATGCAGGCCAATGATTTGACCCTTCTCAAACAGACTAACATCTTTTCTACGACCACCGGATGTGTCTTTCGACATGGTTGTTTAGGAAATGAGAAGCAAGTCATTGCACCAGTTGGGGTTAAATAACTTGTTTCCAGCTGAAAGATAATCGGCCATGCAGTAATTATCCAATAGGAGGCTCGTACCTATCTCCTTAGTTGAATCCACGTGGCGACCTTTTTTTTGGCCAGGCAGTGTATAAAATCATACATATACACATTCGAGGGTTTGGAGCCAGAGGGGCGTAAGTGGCATTTGACCAACTTTACAGGAGAGCGAAAACAAAATCATGACCAAACTTTAATCAACTGTATTTATTAACCTTCAACGTCAACATTGCACCCACATACATACTTGTATTAAGTAGTAGTTCAGTAAACAGATTATGATATATTAAAGCAATTAACATATTGTAAAACATTACAAAATCATAAAAAATAGGTAAAAAAACAGCAGATACGCCCTTTTGACACCAAGCATATACAGAATTTGTAAAGAAAATAAGGCGTATCTGCTAATTTACATACAAAATATTGGCTTCAAACACTTGACATTCATAAGAAAAACAGTCTTATTTTATTATTTTTGCTATTATTATCATTTATTAATATTTCATTTATTTAGCCTGGGCGTGGCCAAAATTAGATAGACCTATTTTAATTCTGAGTCATGACAGAAAAAATATGTATTTCATTTAAAACAGTTATTCAGTTAACCAGTTAGTTCACCTTAAAACATTTAAACATGTAAAACTTTGACATTTAATTTTTGACATTTAACATTTAAGTTCTTTAACTCTAACATTTAATTTAATGCGTCATGTTTACACATTCCACTTGTCAACTACACATCTGTACTATCAGTGCCTACTACTTTCAGGGAGTTGTAAAACTCTGCATAGTAATTAGGAATACTCCCATTGGTGCAAAGGGTGAGGAGATCCTTTTTTTTCAAGGCATTTATGCCTGGGGGGCTTTCATACAGTGAGCTTGGTGGTTGTATGGTGCTTGTGGCTCTGGTTGGTAGGCGTACCATCATCTTTTTGAAAGTTGGGGCAGTGACATCATACTTGAAGTAGATTGTCTTCGGGTCTTCTTTCGTGTAGCGGAACCACTTTATCTTCTGCCAATGGACAGCTTGTCCCTCCTCATCTTTTGATCTGTTCTTCACCGTGAGGTTGGAGAGGGATTTGAAATCAAGGAAATCCTTATGCAGAAGCTCATTCACACAGTATGGGTTTCCCTGCCTTGCCATCCTCACCAGTGTGTAATACCCATCAGGGGAGTAGATGCACACTTTGCGCCTTGCAGTTTCTACTGCGGCATGCACACTGTCACATTCCATTTGGCTGTGCCCCGACTCCATGAACTTGTGGTCAATTGTTGAGAGAGGCAGCGAGCTCACAGCATGCAAGCACATAGTGCTGAAGGCTGCATTTCTGTTCTGTCCCCACAAGTGTCTGAGTACAGAACAACATGTTTCACTTGAGGACTAAGTCCTTTAAGGTACATGTGAACACATGTGCTGATCTCAGAAGATCCACGGCCACCTTCCCCCTCATGCCACATGTAGCAGTCAACATCCTTACAGCCCATGTCATACACGGTGAGGTTGTATGTACTCAACTTTCGTGAGTAAAACAGGCTACTCACATTACTCCATGGAGTTGTCAAGACTTGCTCAAGGTCAAAGGTGACAGCCTTGCATGATTCATCTTCTTTTGCTCTGTTTTTATCAGTTTCTTTCTGTTCTCTTGCCTTGGTCTTTCTTAATTGGTGGGCATTGTATTCCTCACTGTGCTTTGTTTTTTCGTGGTCTTCTAGACGTTTATACCACTCGCAGTATTTGCATGCATCTTTTTTAGGAGTATGGAAGGCCATGTTAAACTCCTTGTCAAACACTGACCTATACATACTAAGCTTTTCTGGTTGGATGTTCCACTCTCCACATTTCTCTTTATACAAGTCATACATTTTCATGAGATTTAGAGAACCTTCCAGATACAGCTTGCTTGTGTCTTTTCTGGAGTAGTGAGATTCAAGTGTGGGAAATGAGCGGATGTGTTCTCTGATCTTTTCTTTGCTGCTTTCTGGGATTTTGTTATGCGGTGCATGGCGTCCTTTCTTGCTTGGAGGGGTCATTCCCAAATCACTGTGTGTGAGGGCGCCTGCTGATCGTGCAAACTTCTCTGAAATATCATGAGGGTAGTTTTTGTATCTTACCTCCATCACTGAAATGAAGAGCAATCTCTGAAGCTTCATCTTCAACTTCATCACTTTCCCTTATTATACTGATCAAAATCTTTTCTGCCTCAGTCAGTTCTTGCATGTCTGCAGTTCTGTCACTTATTTTAGCACTGGGCACCACTTGTGTTACGCCCTTTTGACTCTGAAATGCACTGCAGGGTCTGGTATTACTCAGAGCCACAAGGGCGTATATGTACATACGCCCTTCTGGCTCCAAACAGTACTCCACCTTTTTGGTAAGGTCTTTGTTGTTTTATTGTGGACTTTTATGGACCTTTCTGCCTCGGGCGCCATAGACCTCCATTATTTGAATGTCAGCAGACAGCAAGAAGCCTCCCAGATCTCCAGATGCATTTGAGATATCAAAAAAGTACTCCAGAGTGTTGTTCAGCATGGGGGGGAGTAGAAAATGAAGGCCAATCATGTTTTGGGTGTACTATTCCTAAGCATTTATCTTAAGATATGTGAAGTAAACATAGTGTCAGTTGTATGATGACATACAAAATATTCATGATTCTTTTTTAAATCTGGAATGAAATGAATAAGTAGGAGTAGGCTGCTAAATGCTAACTGATTTTTGTTGAAAATACTTTTATAAATAACAATTAGTCAATCCAAACTAAATAAATGATCACTATGCATGAATCATTAATGGATACATTTATTGTCGTTAAGTTTTGCAAAGAAAAATATAAAGGAAATTGCAAATATATTCAAATTTTTATTTTGTATGGAATCAGAACTAATTAAATCTGGGCGGTTCTCATACCTTTTTTCCCCAGTTCCACCTAAATAAAAAAAAAAAAAAAACTTTAAAACCTCAGCACAAGAAGATTTGGACAATAGTATTTATTAGAGTATTTTTTTTCCCTTTACTTTCCTAATAAAAATATTTTGCATTTCAAATAATGCACATGTTTAGGACTATCTATCAGTGTTTACCCTTTATAGGGCAAGTTACTGTTTTTCATCATTTGTTTAACCCTTAAAAAATGGAGCCCACCAGGTCCCTCACATGCAGCCATTCAGCAAAGATACTGCTGTGTGGCTGTACGTGTTATTTTGGCATTTGATCGATTTGATGAGCCTTTAAATGAAAAACAGGGTTTCTTTCACTCTGTGTGTTTTTCATGAATTTCTTAATGAACCACTTTTATTCTTATTAATATATTGGGGCAAGTGGCTGTTTCTTGTTATTACTTGTCCTTAATGTTTGCCATCAAAATATACATATATTTTCAATGTTTCAAAAGTACTAAGGTCATGTCCTGTCCTCTAATAACACCTTTTGCTTAAAATTTAAGTTTTTTTAAGTCTTTTAATGAGGCTTAATCATGATGGAAAAACATTATTACTTCTAGCACAAATTAAATTGCATTATAAATAGGCTGTCAGCACCACACCTTCTGTGATCCGAGTAGTTCTCTGCTCGGTAGCGCTTATGAGAACTTAAAACACATTGGTCAGTTTGTCTAATGTAAAAACAGAAGCTGGTCTATGAGGACTTAGAGGAAGCGTCTTGCTGTCACTTCATCATCTACAGATTGATTTAGATAAGAATCAGGCTCTATCTGCCAGTACGCTGTAAATATAAAAAATATCTCATCACTTTCTTCACCTGCATGGTACTTTCCAACGTCTTGGAGCCTAGCTGACAAAAGGAAGGAAATAGTTTCAAAGACTGAATCAAATGAAGCTGAAGTTAACTTTAACTTTCTAGGAAGTTTGCTTATTTCAATATGTTTTGGACCTCATGGATTTTATTTTTGTAAGCTTAACTTTTTTTAAAATATTTATAGGGAGAGGATTCTACAACTCAGTTGACAGGATATGACATTGATTTGTTTTTAGTTTGTTTAATATGGGCGAGATGCGGATCATTTTAATTTTTATTTATTTCTACCGTACATGAAGAACTACTGAAATTATTTTCAGATTTAGCTTAAATAGATAAATTCATTCTGTGTGGAAAAGAGGAACTATAGAAATCTCCAGATTCCTTTTGTTAGTGGTCAGCATTTGTATTATTTTGACTCTGAAGAAATGTATTTCAGATATCATAAATACATGTAAGGCACTTCCTGTTGTCATGGTGACTCGTCGATTCAGGACTCCACTGATGATGGCTTTTTAAACTTGTCATGCTTAACTCTGATTGAACCTTCTCAGAGTTCCCAACTTTAGTCTAGATCAATTTAGAGTCGCGGATTTGAACCTGACTTGTTCAAACCTGCTTCGTGAAATGCACCCCAGACATGTAGCTTAATTTAACCCCTAGATTGAATGTTTAGGATGAAATCATGCCAAGAAATCAACATATGATCGTAAAGTAACAGGTATGTGTCTCTGTAACTCCAGGTGTCCAAAGCAGCGGCAGACCTGATGTCGTACTGCGATGCTCATGCCAAAGAAGACCCCCTGTTATCACCGGTGCCAGCATCTGAGAACCCGTTCAGGGAGAAGAAGTTCTTCTGCTCCATTCTGTAAACTCAGCATGGACCTTCAGCTGCCTGCCGCAGGAGGGACTTCAAACCAGGACGTTCAGAACACATAGAAATCTTCTAATAGATGGGCATTGCATTTTGTTTGCCCACCCTTTTAACAAAGAGAGCAAAACATCCAAACCACAGAGTAAACGTTTAAGCAGTAAGGGTTGTTGTTTTTTAAAGCTACATGGCATGTAGAAGGGATCTGTACTTTTAGATAACTCGATAGAGGATCATGATAACAGGGAGAAATGATTATCACCCAGGGATGTGATGCACACCCAATCAACATAACATGTTTTGTTTTTTCTAGTTTGTAATTTGTAAACATAGAAAAAAAGATAAAATGATATTGAAAATATTTTGTTGTTCTTTATCGGGGCCTTCAGGAGTTCCTTAGATTGATTTGTGGTTTAGGTGGAACACAGAAAGAAAACAGCCAAAACAACCACTTGACACAACCCTATTATTAATAGAATGTGTTTCTTTTTAAGTTGTTTAGTTTGTGTTTTTATATGTTTCACCAAAATATCTTTCTATAACTATTTGTAGGTGATTAATGAATCCTTTCTCTTTCACTCTTTCTTCTGTTTTATAAACAAACAGGTTAGTTTAAGCTTTTTTTAAATGCAGGATATATCTCTGTACATCTTTCTAAAAGTAAGTTTCTGTGTATCTAAAATTAATCAGGCAAATATGATGCAGTTTGTCTCCTTCAGACACAATCCCTCTTTCTACTCTTTGTACAAAGTGACTAGCAGAGAAACTGTGCTGTGCTGTGAGATTGAAATGTTTGTGTTTGTATCATTAATTACAATATGAAATTGACAAATTGTCTTGTTCTTTCTTTTAATGCTGAGCTCTAGATATAAAAAAAACAAAGGAAAAAGATCATTTTTGAATGATCAAAATAAAAAGCAAGTCCAAATATCTGTGAAGTGAACAGCTTAAAGGGCCTTGTCAGGTTTTATGCCTGTAAAAATAAACCAAAACCTTTTCTTCGTGTTAAAATGAACCAATATAGAGCAGGTGTCAATAATAATAGGGTTTATTTAGCTCTGAAAGGGGAAACATTAAAGCACACTGTCGCCACCTGCTGGCGGAAATTACCCTCGCATCTGTTACCTTTGCAGCTCCAGTTTCATTGAACTCCAAAGTTTTTACCTTTCACTGAGCGCTACTTGTTTCTCTGTTGGAATACAATTAATTTTTTTTTATTTTTGCATTTTTGCCGACCAGAAGGGTAGAAATGTGCAAAAACATTGTTCCTGTACTATGTACTAGGCACCTGTAATGCTTTTTATTGTGAATTTATAAAGCATATGTATTCTCCCCATGGACAAACAAAATAGTTGTAGAAATGTTTCCTTTTTATATGTGCAGGTTAAAAAAATATTAATTATGTCAAACAATGTATATAGATTTATTTAATTGTTTAGTATTATTGAAGTTTTTTTTAAAGATGATTGCAGAAATAGTTATCTGGCATCACTGCTCACTACAACAGTGGTGAATTCATGTAATAAGCTATTATGGCAATATTCTAGTATCATTATTCAGTACAATTTAATTCCATTGAATTTAGGGGATTATTAACAAATAAATGATAACAATTAAACTTTAGAGAAATTTACGTTTGCATTTAACCCATCCCCTTGGGGAGCAGGGGGCTGCCATCGTGGGGCGCCCGGGGAGCAGTGGCAGTCTGTGGGAGTGGGGCTCAAACTCACAACCTCAGGATTCCAAGCCCAGCGCCTTAGAGCGCCATCATGTATAGAAAGCAGCACCAGACGGTAGGAGTTTCATCCTTTGTGTTGCAGGTTTTAGAACCCAGCTCTGAAGGTCAGCCAGTCCCCACTTCAACACAACCGTAAAGCCAGAACTCGCAACATTTTTTTCTAGGTCACACAAACACTATGAAATACGGTAGTAATGCCTGGATTGACCTTTTAAATTTAAACCATTATGTTTTAAAATTACTAGACGGAGTTTTTTTTTATATTATTTTCACCCCTCTAATCGAAGAATATTTTATGAGCTGTTTTAAATATGGATTAATTTGCATTATATTCATTTGTATTATTTTCTTCACTGCTTTATGTGATTAGTTGAATGCTCATTTTTTCCACAATTCCCATCTATTTTCCATGTTTCCACAGCTATTATACAGAATAGGGCATTTCTAGTGAATACTTTCACTTTAAGATTAAACTAGAACACATCCTGATGTTGAATATGAAAGTTATTAGACTCCTGATGTGGAATTTCAAAATAAAGCCCTCCAAAATCTCTAGGTCTAGTCGTCACTTTTGCATAAGTTGATTTCAGTGTTGCTAAAAAAAAAATAGTTTCCAATAATTGATTTCTCTTAAGGGTGATAGTAGAACACCTCCAGATGTTGCTCATCTGGAGGTGTATATGGTGTATGTAACATATACACTGCGGCGTTTATGGTATAAGTCAGTCTGGCTGTGCTTTGGCCAAGAAGATCAGTCTTAATGATGAAGCAAATTCATTTATTGAAGCATGGTGGTTAAAAGATTGGTTTTACCTATAGTTATAGAATGTTCACCAAAGTTTCTCGTGTGAGCTCTGGAAATACTTAATATTTCAGGCATTGGTAATCCTCTGAATCTCCCCTGAGAGACTCATGTTTAGTTTTGGACGGTCACCTTGGGTTCAAAATATATGTTATGTTTATAAAAGTTATGAACTGGACTGGTGACAGAGGGCAGCCATAATGGAGTCCACATTGCACTGGGAAGTGGTCCAAGTTAAAGCAGGCAATAGCCTCAACAAACTCCTCCCAGGCCTGAGTTTTTGTCTCTGCGACGGCTTGTACAGCGGGATGCTTGGCCAGGCTTCATTCTGACAGCATCCCTTACTGCCCAAGGTCACCATTGGATTTTGGTGCCTGCCCCTAAGAGAGGGAACTCCAGACCTCAGTGCCACAGCTATTGGTGGTCCCACTGACCATAGAGGCAGAGAACATGGTCCACTCAGACTCTATGTCTAGCCGCCCCTAGATTCTAGAAGCTCTCCTGGAGGTGGGAGTATAACACATCTCTGACTGAGGGCTCCACCAGATGTGCATCCTCTCTAACAGGATTTCTAATGGTTCATCATTTTGTCATTTTTGGCATCATTTTTCACACAATGAGTGCTCAGTGGTCCAATGTTACCCTGCAGTATCTGGAAGACTGAATAGATCTGATGAGCAACTTTTAATCACTTCTTATAATGATATAACGTGATAATATGTGTGATTGACTGTGACTTTTCTCTCTCTCTCTCTCTCTCTCTCTCTCTCTCTCTCTCCCTCTCTCTATCTCCCTCTCTCTCTCTCTCCCTCTCTCTCTCTATCTCCCTCTCTCTCTCTCTCCCCCTCTCTCTCGTATATATATATATATATATATATATATATATATATATATATATATATATATATATATATATATATATATATATATATATATATATATATATATATATATATATATATATATATATATATATATATATATATATATATATATATATATATATATATATATATATATATATATATATATATATATATATATATATATATACGAGAGAGAGCCTCATATATATATATATATATATATATATATATATATATATATATATATATATATATATATATATATATATATATATATATATATATATATATATATATACTCTAGACTCCAGGATCCAGACTACTAGGTCATCAAATCAATTCAGTTTAGTCTGTCCAATAAACTGCCTGTAGTGTCTTTAAATGTCCAGCAGGTGTCAGTATTCTGCGAGACAGAATCAGCCCAGCATCAACAGTTTGGATTCAAGATGCCTCATTCACTCTATTATGGATATCTATGGCCTCATTAACCATCAGTAGTGTAAACCAAGTTAAACATCCAGTTAAATTTATAGGTAAAGCCATAAATATGGAGAGATTTTTAATATAGCCTCTTTAAAAATACTTGCATTGTAAATATGCCAGGATTCTAAGCCAAGAATTCGAAAGAGTTTGTTTTATTTTGAAAGGAAACACCAGAAAGGATGTTAGCCTGCAGTTTTCTGGTTTGTCCACCAGGTGGCAGCGAATGGATTTTAATGAAAATACATTTGTAATTTTAGTGATTAAAAAATCTCTCCCCGCTCTGACCAGGCAGAATTATTAAACTATAAAAGAGATATAATTCTGAGTAATAAAGCTCCGTATGTTTAGAAATTAACGTGTGTTTTTTTAAAGCTGTCTCCGCCCGGCCTCCGTACTTCCGGGTGTGGGTGTGGACTCCGGTGACTTCAGCAATAATGGAGGAAAATCTCCTCTGCTTTTAGAAAACAGCTCGTTTTCGATCCCGTTTGTATTTTTCTGATCTGATCCCGAAGCTGGAATGTTGTCAGGATGGGAAACCTGTTTGGAAAAAAGAAACAGTCCCGCGTGACGGAGCAAGATAAAGCTGTTCTGGTGAGGAGCCCCGATTAGCAACAGGCTAACGTCTCACCCACCAAACCCCGCAGAGAAATCCAATTATTTAGAAACTTTGTTTTAAAACCTAAGGCGTAAAGATCAGGAACCGTTTTATTTACATTATTTCCCACTTTTTATCAACATGCAGTGAAATCGGCCTGATCACCGAAATAAAAGGACCAAAATAAACAAAGATTTAGCTTCTAATGTTCTTTAGAGAAAAATAAATGAAGCTGGTTTCCTGGGTGGTTTATCGGACAGGTCAACCCAAAGCTGAAACCTGGATGTTTATCTGAAAACTTTTATTTTCGTTTTTGCAGCAACTGAAGCAACAGAGAGACAAACTGAGGCAATATCAGAAGAGGATCAACCTGCAGCTGGAGAAGGAGAGACAGGTGGCCAAACAGCTGCTGAAGGATGGGAAGAAAGAGTGAGTAGAAAAATAAAATAACAATAATAAATAAAATCAGCGAGAACTCAGAGGAAACGTTTGGAGAGAAAATCATTTGATCTTTATTTTAACAGGAACATTTTAGACACCAATCACCCTTTGATTTTGGTGGAAAATGAGATTTATCCATCTATCTCTTTCTATTTCCATCTCTGCTTAAATAAAATCCTGAGCGACACCAAATGAAATCCTCACCATATTTTTTTTGCCGCCTGCTGGTTGACTGATCAGCCTTTTTCAACAGTCAGCTAAGGTGACCAAAAGCATTTTACAGTGAAAATAAAATGAAATTCCCAAATTATTCCAAAGTAGAGGTTCTTCCACTAAGAACGAGCCGTCAGCGTTTAATCTGGATCCTGGAGTCTAGAAGCTGCTTTCTGAACCAGTGAAGACTAAAAGATGCTGATATGCAGAACAGTTCAATAATCCAGTCTGTTAGGATTATTTTATTGATGATGTGTGAGTCTGTTAATCCCTAATAATACCTGCCTTTTACATGTCAGAACTAATATTTCCTCAAACAGTTAATCTAATTAGGACAGTTCCTTTGTCTGGATAAATAGTCATCTTTATTCGTGGCAAAGCTGTGGGAATGAAATGAGAGCCGCGTCCTTCAGATAAGAACAAAGCTGCAGCTGCCTTCTGTAACTATGAGCAACTTCTCTGATCTGATTAAGATTATAATTTCTGTCAAAATCTGTTTTCATGTCTCCTGGTTATTCAATACATTATGAAGTGTTAATTAAGTTTTCCAGAGTGATCTCTTCTCAGGAAAAGAAACGGAAAGAGAGAAAGCTTTAAGGTGGAAACAGAGCTTTCCTTATCAACTCATTTTTTGAACATTTTTTAGGTTTTGTCTTTTATTTCTTACGTTAGTAAAAGCGTTAGATGATGAGGGAAGCTGAATAAGAACCATCCGTGGATCTGGAACCGTTCTTGGATCTGGAACTATCCGTGGATCCGGAACCGTTCTTGGATCTGGAACTATCTGTGGATCTGGAACCGTTCTTGATTCTGGAACCGTTCTTGGATCTGGAACTATCCGTGGATCCGGAACCGTTCTTGGATCTGGAACTATCTGTGGATCTGGAACCGTTCTTGATTCTGGAACCGTTCTTGGATCTGGAACTATCCGTGGATCTGGTTCTTCATGGCCGAGAAGAACAGCTTCAATGTCGAGCAGATTTTAACCTCTGACTGAAAACGATGTATTTTGGTGGAAGATTAGAAATACGCCGATGAGTCGGTCGCTTAGTAAAACGTAACGCTGTGGCTGTGATGATCAGGACGGGTTCAAAGGTTAACAGAGGGAGGATCAATAAAGCTACATGTCTGATGGATTTGGATCTGGTTTAAAGGATTCTCCGAACGCAAAAAAAAACAGATAAACGGTTTTATTTCCTCCTTTCATGTTTTTAAAAGACGAAACTTTAATTTCAGCTAAACATCTTTTTTTAAGCGTGTTTTTATTTTAGTGTTTTGTTTTACTTTGTCCTACAAATGTCGCTGTGAGCCTTTGGCCTCCATGTTTGGGATGAACATCAGTCTGCAGCGATGATGAGGCTCGGAAAATAAAAGCGGCGGCCATTTTTCCACAGAGGAAGCTGTGATGTCACATCATCTCTGTCCAAACATCTGTTCCTCACCTCTAATTGTGGTTTATTCTGCACCAACAGGAAGGCCCTCGTCCTGCTGAAGAAGAAGCGATACCAGGAGCAGCTCCTGGATAAGACGGAGAACCAGATCAGCAACCTGGAGCGGATGGTGAGTGGCGGCGGCGGCGCTCCGGAAGCAGCGGGAACAAACCTGATCCTCCGTTCTTCTGCTCCTTTCAGGTCCAGGACCTGGAGTTCGCTCAGATCGAGAGAAAAGTCCTCGACGGCCTGAAAGTCGGAAACGAGTGTCTGAAGAAAATGCACGAGGTGGGAGATGTTTGCCGGGTGTGACGACGGCGTCCAGGCGCCGCCTCAGAGAGCTGATCTGCTGTGATTTCCCCCCACAGGTGATGTCGATCGAAGAGGTGGAGAGGATCATGGATGAAACCCAAGACGCCATCGAGTACCAGAGGGTAGGCGTCTCAGAGCGAGCTTCAGCCCGGAGCGCCGCCGTTCATCCAATCAACTCATTTTGTCTCTTTGCAGCAAATCGACGACATGCTGGCTGGTTCCTTATCGCAGGAGGATGAGGACGCCGTCCTGGCTGAGCTGGAGGCCATCACTCAGGTCAGTTTGAGGTGAAGCGGAGAAGATTTGCCCCCTGAGGTCAGATCAGCGCTCTTCACGCCGATTCTGATCCGCTTGTGTTTTAGGGAGACGTCCAGCTTCCAGACGTTCCTTCAGAGCCGCTGCCAGACGTTCCTGAAGCTGCTGAGAAGAATCTAGGTGTGTAATCCAACCGTTTGTAGCGTAGATGTGGAACGTCCGAAGACGAGGAAAGATTATGGTGTTGAAAGAAAGTAAATAATGACACTGAGGCAGATATTTATATTTGACGTTGGTACCATGCTTTCACTTTCTGCTTGAGCTTATTTCACCAAAATGGCAGAAAAACTGTATCTTAAATCATTTTTCTCTTCCAAGACATTTTACACAAAAACAACTTACAAAACATTCTATTATACACTAATCATTAACAATTTCAAAGGAACTTAAATGGAAAAAAAACGACAATTGCAAAAAATCCCAGATTTTATTACTAACTGTAGTTCTGAACTCCAGGCTTCATAAACTGTGAGGATCGCTGAAGCAATTTGCCGAAACGGTTCAATGAGGCTTCATCTCAGCATCACTGGCTAATTGTCACACGCTAGTGAACAAAAAGCAATTCCTGCAGATATTCGACACGCCGCGGCGCCACTGGGTTTCTATAGACCGCGGTAGTAGACGCTACAAACACAGAAACGCTTGTTTGCTAGAGTCAAACAAGCATTTAAGATGGAAAATAAGCTAAAAAAAAGCATTGTTTGTGTACAGAGACGTATTGAGTTCAGCTGCTAAAATGCACCGGGCTCTAGGATTGGTTGGACTCAAGGGCGTGTCTTGTGGTGTGTTCAGGTGAATGGAAAAAAAATGGGACCATGGAATGGAAAGTTTCACATGTAAGAGAAAGGTCACATGATGATGTGATCCTCTGCTGGTTAAACGATGACCTGGCGCGGCAAATATGGCCGCCCAATAATCTAAGAAAAGGTGTTTTAGATGACATCCAGGTGGAAAGAAGGGAGTGAAACCAGAGAGCTGCTGCTGCCGCGCGTCGTTCTTCCAGACGTTTTAGTATCTTCAGAGGAAACGGCGGCGGCTCCTTCATGGTGGAGCGGAACCTTTCAGTTTACCTGAACGGGCGCCACATTCCGCAGCGCGTTCAGGATCAGCCGTCATGCTGACCTTTAGAAACCCGGAGATGACAAACGTTTCACCGTTTGCTTGTGTTTCAGTTTCAGAGAAGGACGGACCCAAGAAGAAGCGGGAGCTGCTCGCTGCGTAGGAGCAGAACCGACGTCCGACCCAAAGCCGGCGCCTCCCACCGCACACGCCTGCCGGCTGCTGTGGGTCAGATCTGCTCGGCAGGACCGGTCGCCTGGTGAACTTTGACCTGTGAAATCACATAATTGTGCCTGATATTCCTGTTTACTGATGCAGATCGTGCATGCTGAGTGTAATCACATGAACCTTCAATGAGGCGGGTCACTTCTCCCAGATTCCCTCAGATCAACATGAACTCAGTCATCCGGTTTCATCCGGTTTTATCTGGTCGGTTTGCTTTTATTTCTGAGAAATCCCAGGAAGATTTCATCAGCATTTATTGCAAGACATTAGTTCATTAAAATCTTAAAAGCCATAAAAATTAGGTTTTGATTTGATTTTCCATTTAATCTGAACTTGTTTTCTCTATAATCTGGGGGAAGTGACCTTTTAATCCCCTGGAAATAAAAGAAACGCTGCCTCATCCTGGAAGTTTTTCCCTAAAAACCGGAACGTCTCCATCCATCCTGGCCTTCTGACCCCCCCAGGCAGATAATCCAATCTGATAAATGTGGATTAGCCTTGAAGGAAGGCTCACCGTTTCTCATATCGACTCACCTGACACCCAGAGTATTTTTAACGCTGTAATTATTCTAACGTACCTGAACTTTTATTCCTGGAGGCTTAAGTTGGATTATTAATCTGTAAATCATTAAAACTGACTAACCCATCTGATGGCAGCATCTCAGTGATTGTCTTTAAGTTGGATTTTCTGTACATTGTTTTTACAATAAAAAGCATTTTTATTGTTAAATATAAA